GTCTTTCTTTGGGTGGAATCCTGGCTTTTCCTGAGAATTGCCAGGCACTCGGGGGCTGGACAATGGGCATCAATAACCCCTTTAAAAATATATATATATATATCTTTAAAAAACCAATCATATGCTTACATATGAAACATAGGGTTTGCACTTAAATTCAAACCCTGCATTATCATCTAGGTGAGTCATCTTGCTTTATGTTGAAGGTCCAAGGGATTCAACTAAATTAGGAGACAAATTGGTGAGCAAAGAAAACAATTCTCACTACAAAGTGGCATGTGTTTGGGGGATTTAGATTCTCCAAAATTGTCCTGTAGACCCCTACTATAGAGAGATTAAGCCATGTCCCAGAGTCAGGATACAAACTCACCACCTGTGTATGTAGGGTTCGCCCCACTTCCTCAGTGTACAACCGGTGGTCTTTCTACAGAAGGAATTAATCTGGAGAGGTGATAAACTCTCTGTTACGGTAAATAGCCTTGTGGTAAAAAGTAAAAAAAAAAATAGGTTGTAGAAACACTAAATTGAGGATGCGGTTCTTTAGTGTGGACCAAAGATGTTTTTTGTCTGTCTCTTTGGTGGTCACCATAGCTAGCAAGCTGCCCTTTTGCATTATATTGCTATGATTTTAGTTATTTTAGGTTGTCTTTATTTTATTAGTCTATTTTCACCCCACAGGAGAAACTTACTCAGTTGACCTGCATGGTAGCAGATGGCACTTTATGTTGGAACATTCTATTTAAAGCTAAAGCAGGGGAAAGAATTAGGGTAGAAATTGATTGTTGAAGGGCCTTTTGCAATTTCCATTTTCCTAAAAGAGAACAACATCCTTCTTCCTCAGCTACTACTGTTAACCTTTATTTAGAATAGAATAAATCACCGGACTCAAAATTTATGTTATACGCTAAAGTCCGCTGGAAAAGAACCTGTCTTTTCACCAAATGTCATCATTCAAAGTGTAACTGCAGTGCCCTAGAGTAATTTCACATCTTCTTCGTGGCCTCTCACTGACCCAAAGTGCTCTGTGGGTTTTGTTATGTAACCATTGTTGGTTGTCACCCAGCCCACCTAACTTTCACAGAAGGTGACTCACTAGTTGGGGAAAGCTTCCTATCAGTTTCACTGAGGGTCAAATAAATGGATTAGATTACAAGTTTTGTTATTGTTGTGGCTTTTTTTTTCCTTTTGTACTTAGAAAAGATTCAGGGATTCTTAAGTGCTTCACAAATTCAGCTTTTGCGTTCTCATGGTTCCAGCATTTTAAATTATGATTTTATACCTTCTATAGAGCTGGGGTGGAGGAAGAAGAGGGTTAGGTGTTTGATATTAAAAATCTGGCATTTAGAGCTTTTCTGTCCTCCCCCTGTGCTGGAATGGAGGGGGAGCACGCAGACGCGGCTCTCAGAAGCTGAGGGGCTGAAGCTTGGGTCCTGGCAATGAGAGTTGGTGAACCTTTCTGCCCACCCCACCTCTGGGCCCACCTGGAAAACTCTTGCATTAAAATACCCCCAACACTCTGAAACAGTCAGGGTGTGTCCGGGAGCCTCAGACTTATTTGATCAACTGAAGTGTACACCCATGGTAGAAGTAATTAAACACTAAATGTCTGCTCTTACCTAGTTATCTAGTGCTGGAGAGAAAGATCTGACTCTAGTCTGTTCCTCATCTCCTGAGGTATGTCAGGATAGTTACCGCTGTTCTCCAAATGAGAAAGTGAAGGATTGGTGAGGAGTGACAAACACGGGGCTGGGTGAGGCCCAGGCTGGCTCTAATGGCTGCCTGGTTCTCCGAGGAGAAAAGACAAGGCAAGGAGAAAAAGGAGGACTGTGCTCACGGATATGAGACTTGGGAACCAGGCTGCTCTGACCTTCTCCCCATAAATGCAAAGATCACACGACAGATAAGGGGCCCTAGAGCTTATCCATAAGGAGGGCTCTTTGGCTTTTGCAGTTAGTAGCGGGAGGAGTTCACAGTGTGTCTTTCTCTATCCTCGAAAGACCCTGGGGAGCCCCGTATCTTGTCTACTGTCAGTCATAGACAGAGTCTGGACTAGAATTCTCGAGGCCATAACTTCAAACATTGGACCGCTCCCCTGCTCCAAGTATCCTCTGTATCTTCTAAATAGAAGTAGACTCTGATCCTCTGAATAGTAGTAACTCCTGCAATCCAGACCTGTGGAACTAGGGCCTGCCTGTTGACTTACTTGTACAGGGACAGCAAGACTTCTGGAACTTCTGTAAGATCCAATATTTGGTCAGGATTAAGAATTTCTTGTTATCCAGTTGCTGTTACTATAGCACCTTTAATAATAGTGTGTAGTACTACAAATACACCACTGGGCATTTTGGATGGGCAGGCCTAATATTAGATGCTTTGGTTTCAGGGGACAAAAAGCATTCTCTGACTAGCCCTAAGCAAAACTGAGAATGAGGTGATTTTCTCTTGGCTGACCCGCCTTCTCTATCAATGTCCATCTGCTATCTGTGATCGATTACTAATCTGTATCTTAGCTACCATGTATGGAGCATGACGACATGCCAGGCAGTAGGCTGTGCACTTTGTATCCCCCACGTCAGAGCCGTAAGTTCTGTCATTCTCCTCATTTCATATGTGAGAAAAGGGCGTGGAGGCTCACGCGGTAAAGTAACCTGCCAGTGGTCGCAGAGCCAGGGAAAGGCAGGGCCAGACTCACCCCCAGGTGTGCACCAGGGGAAATTCATCTCCCTCTGTCAAACGATTCTGAAAGTTTGTATGTGACAACAGCTTAAATTGATTGTAAGTACTTTGGCTTTGCCTCTGCAGATATTTATAGTTTTAAAAAGACTCCCGCCCCGCACAATAGCCATAGGGATGGAACAATGGGGCAGAAAGCTCATTAAGGCAGGGGCTACCAAAGATTCCTCAAGTCATTCCAAGTTCGTGGCTCTGTGCTCATAAGCCAAGCATTCCCTAGCACAGATCTGTGCACATCAGAGACGCTTAATAATTATCTGATTAAAACCTAGTCCCTCTTCTCATTAAGTGTAAGAAAAGTACAGGGAAAGCTGCTCTGGTTACCTTTAGCTTCACCTATTGACAAAGCATCAGCTTTTTCTAACAACTCCATATATGCACCTTTAAATTTGAAATGCCCACTGTTCCTAGGTTGGGTTTTTGTTCTAGGTTTATACCTAGAACAAAACTTGGGTTTATACATTAAGAAAAATTTTTTAAATGTTCTCTAATTCATGGAAATTTATGTTTGGCTTTATTTTGTCTATGTGTTGAATTAACCAGCTATGAAGAAGGTGAGCATGCCATGTTGTTTTACATTGAAATACCTATATGATATTTTGTCTTGTTTGTTCTTCATCACAATTTTAGCACAAACATACTTTTGGATGATCAATTTCAACCCAAACTAACTGATTTTGCCATGGCACACTTCCGACCCCACCTAGAACATCAGAATTCTACCATAAATATGACCAGCAACAGCAGTAAACATCTGTGGTACATGCCAGAAGAGTATATCAGACAAGGGAAACTTTCCATTAAAACAGATGTCTACAGCTTTGGAATTGTGAGTACCAGCTACCAGTTAGCCAAGGAGGGAAGTTGATTGCCAAGGATGTTCTAAATTCTGAAAAGAATTTTTTAAAGAGCTTTAATTTTTAGATTTATTGATTTTCTGTTACCTGTCTTATATATTAATTTTGTATAATGAAGCAAGTAGTAAGATATAAAGTCATTAATTAGATTGAACTATATTCACGGTCATGGTTAATAGTTGTAGCAAATTGTGTGTATATATTTAACATACATAGCTGACTTTCTATATGTTCTTGTAGGTAATAATGGAAGTTCTAACAGGGTGCAGAGTGGTGTTAGATGATCCGAAACATATCCAGCTGGTAAGAATTCTCTTCACCTGAGCACCGATCTCTTGAGCATTTTCCTGATCGAGTTCTATATGATAAGCTTGTCTCCTTCTCTTCCTAGCGAGATCTCCTCATGGAATTGATGGAGAAGAGAGGCCTCGATTCATGTCTCTCATTTTTAGATAAGAAAGTGCCTCCCTGTCCTCGGAATTTCTCTGCCAAGCTATTCTGTTTGGCAGGCCAATGTGCTGCAAGGCAGGCAAAGTTAAGACCATCGATGGATGAAGTGCGTATATACATGGTTTTATTCAAAACTGAGCCCGCAGAACCAGGGAAAATCTCAATGGGATAAATTGTGTATCTACATGAATTTTTTATCTATGAGACAAATCCTGCCTCCATCAGAGAATGCCAATCTAATAGATAGCTTTTACAGGTCAAAAAGTCATACCATTTGCTATTGTGGTAGAGGTCATTGGGTGGAACCAAGCCTCCACAAAAAATCTGATGAAAAGACGTAAGTGAATAGTTTGGAGGGACTATTTTAGTCAATCTTCATTAAAAGATCTGGCCCATTAAAAATGCAGCATATATTTCCCTTGCTCATTTTTAAATTTATTCATCTATCCATAGATTTAATCATCCATTCATTTATTTGTTTATTTGTATAAGGGAAAAAATACTTATTTAATGCTGACTTTGTATGTGCCAGACTTTGTATTAGGTGCTGGGGATACAACAGGGATCCAGATGCAGTGGCTACCCTCAGGCTCACAGTTCAAAGGAGTCATCAGATCAGTAACATGGACTTGTGGCCCAGCAAGAGAAGCATAATGATAGATAGAAGCCCAGGTCTATATGAGAACATAGAGTCAGAAACCCAGCCAGCCTGTGGAAGTCAAGGAAGCTTCTTGATAGAGGTGACAGCTTAGCTATGATCTGAAGAACAGGTTGGATCCAGGCAGTAGTAAGGATGGAAGGACATTCTAGGCAGAGAGAATCCACATCTGCAAAGGCTCAGAGGGGTTGAAATCCACAGCACTAAGGCTGCAGGTAGTTCGGCTTCATGGAAGTGGTGGGGGAGGTGGGGGTGAGAGAAAGGCTGGAGCGCTTAAAATAATAAAAGCTCAGCTGAGCACAGTGGCTCATGCCTATAATCCCAGCACTTTGAGAGGTGAGAGGATGGTTTGTGGCCAGGAGTTCGAGACCAGCCTGGGCAACATAGCGAGACCCTGTCTCTACAAAAAGAACTTAAAAAATAGTAATAATAAACACTTCCAGGTTGGTCATGAATTCCAGAGGGACATGAATCCATTCTAGGAGTTTTAATTTTATCCTGAGTCTATCATAGAGCCAAGGAAAGGTTCTAAACAAGGAGTTGACATAATCAGAATGGAAAGAGCAGTGGCCTGGGAGTCAGGAGAGCTGTATTCCAGGCCTGATACTACCTGTAAGAGCTGTATGGAGCCCTGGGCCCAGGAAGGAGCTATAAGCTGTATCATGGAGGGACAGGGAGTTGGGAGCCACGAGATCTGATGTCAAACAACAGGTCTCTTCCTTACTGTCTAGTGACATTGACTCCTCTTTTTGAGCCTCAGCTTTATTACCTATAAAATGAGAATAATAACATCGTTTGTGCAGGTTTAATGAGATAATATACGTGAAAGTACTTTGTAAATTGTAAAGCTCTCTATACATATTTTTAAAAATTATGTGTATATATGTGTGAAGGAATGTATTATATGTTATATTAGGTCAAGGGTTTCTCAAACATGGTTGCACATCCCTATCCCCTGGGAAGCCTCTAAAATATAGATTCCTGGACCCTGGTCTCCTTGTTTTTTGAATGATAATCTCTAGGTTGGGGCCAAGGGATTTGTACTTTAAGAAAGCTCCCCTAAGTAATGCTGACACTTAGGAACTATAGATCAGGCCCACCATTCCCCCTCTCCCTTGCAATCCTCCACATAGTATGGCTGAAGTCAAAAATGTAAAGAGATTTGCCCGAGGTCACAAAGCTAGTTGGTGGCAAATCTAAGGCTAAAGTCTGGTCTCAGGATATGTAACTCAGTGCAGTTTTCTTTTATACCTCGCTTTAAGTCACTTAATTTACTCCTCAAAATAAAGGGATTTAGCAAATCTTTAAGATCTCTTCTAATGCAAAATTCTATAGTTGAACTTATTTCATAAAAGCGTAAGAATATTCTTTAATAGAGAGAAAAAAAAGGTGAAAGGAGAGGTTATTCAAGCTTAACTCTGCGTCTGTTTGCTTCTTTGTTAATTAGGTCCTAAATACTCTTGAATGTACTCAAGCCAGCTTATATTTTGCCGAAGATCCTCCCACATCACTGAAGTCCTTCAGGTGCCCTTCTCTTTTATTTTTGGATAATGTAAGAAGTATCCCAGTGGAAGATGATGAAAACCAGAATAACCATTCGCTACCTGCTGATAAAGTTTTGAGAAAAGATAGAATGGCTCAAAAAACTCCATTTGAATGCAGCCAGTCTGAGGTTACATTTCTGGGCTTGGACAGAAAGACAGGGGGCAGGAGAAATGAGGAAGCTGACAGCATGCCCAGTGCTTCTTGTGCAGAAAGTTGGTTCCCAAAGCATGTGGTTCCATCACAGGACTTACGGGCCCATAAGGTGCATATGGACCCTTCTTCAGAAGGTCCCGGCCATTCTGACGGGAGCGGTCCGGTGGAAACTACCTGTTGCTCCGAATTTTCTTGGAATGAATATGAACAGTACAAAAAGGAATAAAGGTCACCAGAAGACAAAGAACAAAAGCAGGTGTTGCTGAGGCACCTGAGTGCAGGGATCACCTTGGGAAGACACTGTCTCCATAAGTAGTGCCAAGAGAATGATCGGTGGTGAATTTAGGAAATGCATATGAACAATCTGGAAAATTCTCTTCCTTTCTTCACAGCCCCAAAACAGAGTGAAGAAAATTATTTTATTGGGGCTGGGTGCAGTGGCTCACGCCTGTAATCCTAGCACTCTGGGAGGTTGCAAGAGGATCACATGAGGTCAGGAGTTCAAGACCAGCCTGAGCGAGAGCCTGTCTCTACCAAAAATCAGCCGGGCATGGTGGTTCGTGCCTGTAGTCCCAACTACTTGAGAGGCTGAGGCAGGAGGATTGCAGGAGCCCAGGAATTTGAGGCTGCAGTGAACTACGATGATGCCACTGTACTCTACCTGGGCAGCAGAGCGAGACTCTGTCTCAAAAAATGTGTATATATTTTATTGGGGTAATTGCCTCATGATCAAACCCAGGCTAAATTAGAGCCGTTCAGAATTACTCACAATCATGGGTTCTGACTTAGCCAAACAAAACAATCAAAACCTGCCACACAGGGCCTGGATTCTAATGTCTTCTCCGTCATCATCAGTGTGAGTCCTCAGAGCCTCCATCTGTTGAGAACATTCCACTGGAGTCCATCGTTTGGTTTAGCTTGTTTTTGAGGGTTTGTAGGATGTGTCTAATTTGTAAATGTTAATAGATACCTTTTTAAAGAATCGCCTTTTTGATTGGCCCTTTGTATTTTTCTGTTCTTCTATTCCTCCCTGTCAAGCCTGCCTGTGTGAAAATGAGCCAGCTTCACCCTCAGCTACAGCATGCTCTGTGCAGAGGGGGGATTCCTTCCCAAGATCTGTATTTCTATATTAAAACTCTCAGGATACTTTATCACATATACTACATATAATGTAGTTGTTGACTGTTATTATAATTTCTTTTTTTAAACAAACTTAAAGACCTATTATAAGCTGAGTAGAGTATATGAGATTTTAATCAAGTAATTTTTGTTCCTGAGAAAACAGCTGGTCACAAGGGCCTAGGTCAACTTTTTGTTTGGTTCTATACCTTCCAACTCTGTGCCTTTACTCCTGCTGTTTCCCGGATCTCCCCCTTTTGAAATCCTACCCAGTTGTCAGGGCTCTGCAAAACTGCCGTCTACCAGGAAGCTTCTCTGATCTTTCTAGCCAGAAGTACTCACTTTATCAATCATTTCCACAGCAATTTCTTTGTATTTATATTCTATACTTGTCACTTTCTGAATTATATCCAAGTTGCTTGTGTCATCATATCTCTGTTAGATAGATTATAAACTCCCTATATTAGTTTTCTATTGCTGTAACAAATTATCACAAATTTAGTGGCTTAAAGTAAAAAATTCATTATGTTACAGTTTTGGAAATCAAAAGTCCTTGGCATTGCTTCTGGAGGCTCCAGGGGAGAATTCATTGCCTTTTCTAGCTTCTAAAGGCCACCTGCATTCCTTGGCTTGTGGCCTCTTCCTCCATCTTCAAGCCTAGCAATGTAGCACATTAAAATTTCTCTCTCTCTCTCTCCCTCTCTCTCTCTCTCTCACCTCTTCCTCTCCCTCTGTCCTCCTGCCTCTCTCTTATAAAGACCCTTGTCCTTGTATTGGGCCCACTCAGATAATCTAGGAAAATCTCTGTGCCTTAAGATCCTTAATTTAATCACACCTGAATAGTCTCTGTTCTCACGTAAAGTAACATGTTCACAGGTTTCTGGGATTAGGACATGGGCTATTAATCTATCACACTCCCTGAGTGTGAAGGGGCCATCTCTTCAGGGCCTAGCATGTTATCCTACACAGAGCAAGTGTTTTCTTGTAAATTAAGTTGAGTCAAATTGTCTCTATAAACCCACATAATCAAAAATTCAGCTATAATAAACATTGCTGAGTAAATTAACAAAGGGAGGCTAATGACTCTGTTTATGATGTTGGATAGAAACACTAAAGAAAATCATTTCCAGAAGATCTCTAGGAAGCCTGGAATAAAAGGGTAGACTAGCTTTCTGTGCATGTCTTTTTTCAGGGGGGCTGGGCGGTGAGTCAGTATAGTTGGGTTAGTCACAGGCAGATTCGAGTCCAGGTTCAAGAACAACTAATCCAACAAGGAAGTCATCAGGAATCAGGGTCAGGTTAACAGACCAAGGTCAGGAATGTGGAGTTAAAATTCCCCAAAAAAGGCATGAAATGAGGTTAAAAACACAGCATGCCTTAATCTGATTGACAGGCCTAACACAGGCCCCAAGGAAGCAGCTGGGAGAGCCCATGCTCCAGGGCTGCTCTGCAGGGTACCGGCTGCCCAGAGCTGTCTTCTACGATTGTCACGCATGTGGTCAGGCATGTGTTCGCAAAGCTCCCACACTGTCCATGTGCTAAGACTGGTAGGGGGAAAGGGTTGGCCTAGATGTCATATAACTTTTGTTCTTGTGACCTGTCCTAGTTTGGCAATTCTTGATTATACGTATTAATGAAAGGAAGTGCAAAAGTCTTTGGCATTTAGCCCAAACCATTCTGAGGCTGATTGAGCTTATCTTAGAGATACAATCTGAAAGTGTATTGGCTGAATTGGGAAAACTAGCCTGGAATCTTGAAAAGCTGCTGCTAATAAGTCACAAAAGAGATAATCAAGGATTGACTCTACATTAAACTGTTTTTCACTTTGAATAGGGCCCTTTACTGAAGAGTCATTAAGGATGCTCTGATGAACACCAGGCCCACGCAATTACCCCGCACACATATCATCTGTTGGTAGTATGTTGATTTGAACTTGCTTAGTTGACTCAGAGCAGGGTTTCTCAAACTGTAGTTTGCATCAGAGTGACTTGGAAGGCTTGTTAAGAACAGACTGCTGGGCCACACCTGGCTTCTGATGCATTCGGTCTGGGGTTAGAAATGTGGCTATCAAGTTCCCAGGGGCTGCTGCAGCTGCAAAGCCCACTCCTTGAGAACCACCGCCTTCGAGTGTTCTTAAGTGGTTAATTGGTAGATCCTACCTTTCCACCTAGGTTGTATGTTTTTTGAGAAAAGAATAATTCAATTCTTTTATATTCACCCTATTACCAAGGATATTGGTTAGCATAGAGTATGAGCTCTAGATACATTGTTGACCAGGCCGGGTGCGGTGGCTCACGCCTGTAATCCTAGCACTCTGGGAAGCCAAGGTGGGCAAATTGTTTGAGCTCAGGCGTTTGAGACCAGCCTGAGCAAGAGCGAGACCCCGTCTCTACTAAAAAAATAGAAAGAAAGTAGCTGGACAGAAAAAATTAGCCGGGCATGGTGGCGCATGCCTGTAGTCCCAGCTACTTGGGAGGGTGAGGCAGAAGTATTGCTTGAGCCCAGGAGTTTGAGGTTGCTGTGAGCTAGGCTGACGCCATGGCACTCTAGCCCGGGCAACAGAGTGAGACTGTCTCAAAAAAAAAAAGAAAAGAAACATTGTTGACCAATGATCTTATTGACTAGATCATCTTTCTAGGGTGTGACTATTTTGAACATCTTAAAGACCAAGTCAGATTAGTTGGCAGTGGCCTGACTAATCATGCGGTAAGCAGATGTCACTGGCTGGAAAGTACCAAAATCTTCTATTGACTGATCCAGTCCTGTTGACCAGATCTGCCTTCTAGTGGGTGTATTAATAAATGCCAATTGATAGGAATTAAATCTTGCATGCTAGTATGGGTAGAAAGAGGATACTTTCATGGTTTCATGATGTAGAGAGTAAGATACATGAAACCAAGAATGAACCTCCAAATGTTCCCTCTGATCAGCAAACATGAATTAATAAAGAATTTCATTGATCTTCATCCTTGTAACACATCGTGGGCAATCGTCCAGACAGAGCTTATTTACTATGCTTCTTAGGGCTTTTGTCCCGTTTTACAATGCCCCGAAACATGGAGAAAATATTTTGTTGTTTTTGAAAATGGGTATGGGATTTCTGACATAATCAATTTTATTGACTTTTTGAAAGTTGTAATGATCTGTGAGTCACTGCATAGTAGTGTAGTTTTATGGAGCGGCAGATCAGCCTGTGTAGAACAACTTTTACAACCTGAGGTCTGATGAGTATAGGAGGTGAGGTTTATCATGGGTAGCATTTATTATCTGCTGGAATCAAGGCACTGTGTTAGCTACTAGGGTACCAAGTAAGGAGCAAACAGTTTAGTAAGGAAGAAAGCGCGTCTACTTAACAGTTCAGTGACATCTGTTATTTCAACCACACACCAACAGAACTGAAAGTAAATGTGGAAAGGGTGAGGAGGAGGAATAGATTGCTATGCACTGGGCTTTTTGGAGGCACTCCCTGGAAAAACAGAAAAGATTAAAAGAAATAGAAAAGAGCACCAAAGGAGCTCTCCAGGATGGTTATCCAAGGAATTGGGGGACCACAGTTCCAGCAGAGCTATGCACAACCCCGTCTCTGGTGCTGGAAGGATGGGGTGACGGTGAAGTGAGTTGGGTCAGGAGCTTTGCATGGTTGTTTGTGGCTAAAAGTGTGAATCCTGTCTTATAGGTAAGGATGCTGACTCAGGGAAATTAAGTCACTTGCCGAAAGTCCTCCCAGATTTGGAGGAGCCAGGATTTGAACCCATATCTGTCTGACTTCAAAGCCCATGCTCTTTCTTGTGGTCCACATTGCACAAAGGAGCCACTGGAGGTTCAAGCTCCTATGAAAAGGGATGGATGTGAAAAGTCATGTGTTGATTGCACTTTTTTTTTTTTTTTTTGAGACAGGGTCTCATTCTGTTGCTGGGGCTAGAGTACAGGGGCATCATCATAGCTCACTGCAACCTCACACTCCTGGGTTCAAGTGATCCTCCTGCCTCAGCCTCCTGAGTAGCTGCGACTAAGATGCATCACCACACCTGACTAATTTTTCTATTTTTTTGTATAAATGGGGTCTTTCTCTTGCTCAGGCTGGTCTTTAACTCCTGACCTCAAGCAATCCTCCTGAATCAGCCTCCCGAGGTGCTGGGGTTACAGGCATAAGCCACCACGCCTGGCCAATTCCATAAATTTTTAGTAGGCATGCAAGGCTTGCCATGTCTTCTGCCTTTTTCACTATCCTGTTCCTCTTCTACAGGCACCTATCTCTGTAATCATTTGATGTGAGTTAAATGAATT